AGGGTAAAGAAATGGAGATATAGATGGCACTCACGTCAACGTGCATCCAGACGCCGAGCTCCTGGCAGACGTCGGCGACCTCCCCGAGCGGGTCCACGGCGCCCAGGACGGTGGTGCCGACCGTGGCGTTGACCATGCACGGCTGCCGGCCGTCGCGCCGCGCGGCCAGGATCGCGTCGCGGAGCTCGCCGGCCAGCATCCGGCCGTGCTGGTCCGTGGCCACCTTCACCACGCTCGACGTGCCCAGCCCCAGCCAGTGGGCGCCCTTCATCACCGAGTAGTGACTCTGCAAAATCATTATTTAAAAAAAAAATCAAAAGGTATTTAATGGCAATATGTGGCAGCGAACAGTATCCTAATTCGACACTCTTATAAATGAAATATGTTCAACTTTCGCTCTAATTTTAAGTGAAATACAGGGTAGGTGATCCGCGCCGTGGGTTTTTTTTTTTTTTTTTTGTGCTTATCCTGTACCGGATTCATGCGTGCGGGCGGGCTCGCCTATCGACGCTCGCCATTGCGCCTTACGGCCCCCCCTGCGAGTATGCAACCCGTCTGCCACTCATGAATGCGGTACAGTACAAGCAGAAAAAACCACGGCGTGGATCACCCACCCAAGGTTTAACTTTAGCTCTAATTTTGCACTGACGTCGTCCGAGGTGAAGACGGCGAGAGGCGGAAGCGCGCGCACGCCGTCCGTCTTGACACGCGGGAAGGCCTTGTACCGGGCCGCGACCATGCCGTACATGTTGGCGACGCTGCCGCCTGTAAGACGCCAAGAAACAGACAAGAAGAAATAAGAAACAGTGGCGGGGTATCACGGTTATTCAAATAATGGGACGTCACATTCAATTGGTCGGACCATGTAGGTGAATCCCGGGCGCGTGGTTCCTCCTCCTTGCTCCTTGCGAGGGTAAAGTTCAAAATTTTTCCTAAAAAATTGAACACTTTTCCAGGTGCAGCAGTAGCAACACAACCACTGCCCTCCTGATCTACCTCACCACTACACTAGCGCCCCTAGCGGCCAAACCAAAATCAACAAACCCTGAGACTAAAGAATAAACTGCCATTCTACTCCCAACTTCTTGTGTGTTCATTTCATCCTGGTTTTCCCTTCTCACCTCACACCCAGCTGATGTTACACCAGGAACAAAATTGAAATGGAGGGGAAAATGGAACTTCATAGGAAAAAAATTAACAGCTTAAAAGAAAGTTCTCGGAAAGTGTTTCAAAATCCTTTTTCGGAAAATTAAAATTGCTCACTCCTTTGTGCTCACCTGGTGTGAAGATTCCGTCGCCGTTCGGGAAGCCTACTTTGGCGAGGCAGTGCCGTATCACCTCGTGCTCCACGAGGGTGAAGGCGGGCGCCACCTCGAAGGTGTACCTGTTGCGAACCACGTATACACAACAACACTTTAGTTTTGTTTTTTAAAATTTTAATTAGTTTTGTCGGCAAGACTCCATTCACCAGTATGTACACGGGGCTGAGGAATCCCTAATGGCAATGGTTATTTTTTGTCGTTTTGGACTGGGCCCACAACTGAAAGCCAAGTGTGTGAATGTCGCTCACTTGCAGGTGTGTGAACGCCGTTCGTTCAGATGGAGGCACGCGTGTTGTGAAATTTCCAAAGGAAAATACACACTTTTACTCCCTCGAGCGTGTACGAATGGGCATATTCGAACACCAACAAGTTACAAGTGTGCGACACCCCCACATCTACAGGTATGCAACAATTATACACTTGAAGGATGCGACATTCACACACTTGTCCTACTCACTGGCTCGTGTTGAGGGCCTCCGTGACCCAGGCGCCCGCCACGCCGAAAGGGTCGGCGCCGCCGTACAGCTGGTTGTAGAAGTGGCGGTGGCCAGTGCGCACCGAGGCCCGCGCCACCTCCCGCACCAGCGCCAGCAGCTCGTCCTCGTCCGCGACCGCATCGCCGAGGCCCAGCCGCAGCTGCGCCTGTGTGTGTGTGTGTGTGCAGAGCAAAACGCACAAGTCAGTACGATGCGAGGGGAACTTCACTCTAGAAAAATCGATGTACACCCCTCCCCCTCTCCCCCAGAAAAAGTCAGGAAACATATCACGCAAAATCGATGAAAAATTGAAAATAAATGAAAACAAGGTAAAAACAGGAGGAAACAAGCAAAAAATCAGAAAAATCAAGAAACAACCGAAAAAGCAAGATACGACAAAAAAAATCAAGAAATAACGGAAAAACCAGTTGATACGCTTGTAGTTTTAGTAAGGGTCCCGTGATGCATGGCGCCTGCGACGCGTCGGGTCGGCTGGCCCGCCGAGCAGCTGCGTGCAGACGGTGGCCCACCCTTGTGAGCCCCTGCTTGCTCGCATGATGATTGGGAGGGCATCCTCGGTGCCGTCGCCCCGCGCCCACGAGGCTTCCTATTAGCCCCGCGCCCGATCGTTGCGGAGCGTTGCGGAGGGCTTCTCCAGGAAGCGCTGCCGCCGTCCGCACGGGGTGGGTGGGGGGAGTGGAGCTCTCCCTCGCGGATCATTGTGCACATTTCATCATAAACAAAGCGGTTGCCGAGGCGGTTGCTCTGCTACAAGTTGAGGAGGACGCCGGTTAGGTTGTGTCCTCCAGAAACAATGCTTTTGTCCCGAGATACGGTACATCGTACGGCGCAAAATATGGAAAATGATAATAATAATAATAAAAACTCAATGGAATTGGCAAAGGACAGCATCAAGCGCATAACACTCGGCGAGCTCGTGACAGCGTTAAGTCATAAGTAGCCGGCCGCCGGCTGGCCGCTGTAGCTGAGTCGCGCCGAACCGGTTCCAGAAGTCCAGAGACGTTATCGACAGTACAGTGCGGCGGTCACCGCGCAGCGCTTGGGCGCGTATGTGCTCACCCACAGTGTAGGTCAGTACGTGCACAACGTCCGTACGACCATGCGTGTTAGATGGGACACAGAATTAAACGCTTAAACGCTTAAACGCGGCCGAGGGGGTAATCACTCCGTGAAAATGCGTACACCTCAACTTTTCACTTTTCCACTTTTATTCACTTTTTCACCGTTTTACAACGTTTACTTTATTTCTATGCCTATATCCCCTCTATTTTAATCATTTTTGATCTGATCAAGGCACGATAAGTCACTTTTGTGCACATTTTCTTTCAGTTTTCATCACTTTTAGTCAAATTTTTGTCACTTTCACTTTAACTTTTACAGAAATGTGTACACCTACTTTCTGTAGTGATTACCCCCTCAAAGGCGGCTCTACTTCTCTAGTACCTCGAATCACCAAGCCAGAGAAGTCCACTGTTAAGAATCACAACAGTAATTCTCTACAGAGTTGTAAGGTTTATTGTTTTTAGTGTGATCCTGTGGGCTGGGAGAATATTCGTTTCGAGCACAGTCAAGTGTTTGTCCCTCAAATACCAGTCGAATAGGTTTCGATCGTATATGAAAGAGCAAGATGATCTGTATGGATTCTGTTTTGGGGTATGTTCAGAATCTATAACAGATACGATCGTATCGTATGGCGATAAATCGTAAAATAAGAAGGACGCTGTAATTTTTTCTTTTAAAAAGTCTGCTATATCTGATCTGCTTGAGAAGCTGTCCGGTCTAAAGCACGCCGTTTCTGGAAACACTTGTCACCTAAGAGTATACGCCCCCTCCCGACCTGCTTCTCTTCCCTTCTCTGCGAGCTTGCGCTCACGCAGTCGCTCCATCACTCGTTAAACAAAGGCGCCGAGTCGTGCATTTTCTGGGGTGCTAAACAAGTAAAAGTTAGCAGCTTTGTTTCGCCAGTGATATCGCTTGCCATAAGTTTGAAATATGATAGCTCAAGCCGAGTTATTGCCCGCCCCGGACTTAACGCGCGCACTAGTCCGCTTGTGATATTCTATTTTGTTTCAGCTATGTCGGTGGCGGTCTGCTCTGCTCTTCGCGGCAGCTGCGTACCAGCCACTGCCAACTACAGACATTCCTGCATGCACCCATGCAGCTCACGGGACAAACTTCTGCCATGGCAACTCGCCTATTCCGAACCGCTCAGAATTCCTGCGAAGGCAGGATACGTCCAGAAATTCAAATCATTCCAATAAAACACGAATAAATAAAAAAAGTAAAGCTCTAGCACCGACTAAGTAATATTTACCGTCTCTGTCTGTCTGTCTGTCTGTCTATCTGTCTGTCTGTCTGTCTGTCTGTCTGTCTGTCTGTCTGTCTGTCTGTCTGTCTGTCTTTCTTTCTTTCTGAATCACTGCAGCAGGTCGCTAAAGAACGATTAATCTAAACAGTACAGGCCAATAAAGAAAGGCACACCAACCTGCAGCTTGTCCGGGTGCTGAAAACTGACGACGGGCAGCTCGGGCGCGGGAGTGCCGGTGAAGCCCTCCTCGCGGAGCACGCCGGCGACCCTCTCCAGGAAGTCATCGTGGCCTCGGCGGGCCTCCGCGTCCGCGTCCATACCGGCGGCTACGAGACGGAGACTGGACGGCGGCTGTGCGGCGTGCCGGCAGCATCCAGCTGTTGTCGGGCACCGCCCCTCCCCGCCCCGCACCGCCCGCACCGCCCCGCCAGTGAACGGGACGCAATGCGCCTGACTTGAGCCGCTAGCAGGTGTATGGAAAGGCAGAGGTCATGAAGGGAGGGGGGCTTGGACAGACAACCAGGCGTCCCCTCCACTCACTCTCTGACTGACTGACTGACTGACTGACTGACTGACTGACTGACTAACTCACTCACTCACTCACTCACTCACTCACTCACTCACTCACTCACTCACTCACTCACTCACTCACTCACTCCACTCCACTCCACTCCACTCCACTCCACTCCACTCCACTCCACTCCACTCCACTCCACTCCACTCCACTCCACTCACTCACTCACTCACTCACTCACTCACTCGGACAGGGATTCCTCCGCGTCTGGAACAGAGTGGGTGGGAGTGATAGTGGAGTCATTTCGAGAGGAAGGCACTGCATTGTCACTGAATGTCTCGATGCAGAGCATCGAGCGCTTCGGCTGTTGCTATGACACTTATCAGCGGTAAAGTGCGGTCTTCAGTCCCTGCCACACACGAGCCACACACACACCTTACCAAAAAACTGCTTTCAACAGTCAGACCAGCACTCTGAAAACCCAAGAACGTTAAAATTATATTTGAAGCGTTGGTATTCAAGTTGGAAACCCCATCACATGTAGGCTCGTTCGAACGGAAATTTCCCAAGGAATCCGATGGGCTCATCAAAAATAAAACCGAAAAGCTAACTTAGTAAATATTCCACGAAAACGAGTTGTAGCAACAGCATGCATCTCAATGCATGCTATTAAATACAGCATGCATCTCAATGCATGCGCTAAATACAGCGTGCATACCATGCATGCTTTATATAACGCATGCAATGCATGCTGTTGGGTTTTCAGAGCAAAAGGTCGTACTTTTCCTCTTCCCCTTTCACCTCCCCCCTTGCCTGTAAACTCCTTATGCTGGCCGTGCTTTGAGAAGTACAACCTAGTATATTATTAACAGAGCAGAGAGAGAGAGAGAGGAAAGAAGACACACTAAGCACTCTGCGGCATTAGTCGGCTGGACGACATGCAACACGCCGCCGTGTCGTCTGCTCTTTTCCCCCTCCCCGAGCGGTGTTCAGCGAGCGCCAATCAGAGCCCGCGCAGCTTCCGAACAAGCCATGCAGGGGGAAAGCAGGGAGAGGCGGGTGG